AAAAAAAAAAAAAAAAAAAAAAAAAAAAAAAAAAAAAAAAAAAGAAATGGAAACTCTACAGTTAATTGCTTAATGATGATGATAACAATAATAGCAGCCACAACTTATTTTATTGTGCACTTTACTCTGGGCCAGTTACCCCCCAAGCATTCTGCATGTATTATTAGTCCACTTAATCTTCAAGCAACCCTAAGAGGTAGGTTCTACTCTTATTCCTATTGAATAGATGAGGATGCTGAGGCAGCACAGAAAGGTTAAATACCTTGTCTCAAGTTGCACAGCTGGGAAGTAGATAAACAAGGATCTGAGCCTTGAGTCTGACTCTAGGACCCATGCTCCCCAGAATTCTACCTACAACAACAAATAGAAATATGGTCCTTCTCTGTAAAACTCAGTATGAACATTACAACTGATTTTTTCCATTTATTCTGAACATTCTGAATAATCACAAAAAAAGGTTTCCACACTACTCCCATCTCCAGAAATGTATCAGAAGAGGTACATGAAGCAAAATGCTGCCTGTGTTTTTGCAGATTCAGGCTCCAAAGAACAGAAAAGCAGAAAAAACAAACAATTGTGTTTTTAAACAATGAATGTTGTTTTCCTTTAGCCATAAGGGAATTTAAAAACCTGACAAACCCACTCAGCTTTCAAAGCATTCCACATTCCCCACCCACAAGCAAATGCCAGAAGGTACCAGTTTGAGCCAACTCTGAGCTAGGAATGATTTTCTAAATACTGGATCAGATTTCTTGAATGTCCACACTCCACAGATGGATACTTACCATTGTCCTAGTCAGTCTGATGAAAGGTGCTTAGCAATTTATCAAGCAATTAATTTAAAAAGAACATTTTAGCAAGAGATGAGATAGTAAGTCACGAATGCAGAAACAGAAAAGGATAGGCTATTATTACTTCAAAAAGATTGAAAATTACTGCCTAAGGTCTGTGCAATTTTAGAGTTATATTGTGCATTGGCTCAATTTTAATGAAGAACTTTCTGAAAAAAAATAGTAGTTTCGGGCCGGCCCGGTGGTGCACTGGAGAGTGCACTGCTTGGGAGCGTGGAAGCGCTCCCGCCAAGGGTTCGGATCCCATGTGGAGACCGGTTCCTGCTCACTGGCTGAGTGCGGTGCGGGCGCAACACCGAGGGTTGCGATCCTGTTGCTGGTCCCCGGTACGGGTGCGACACCAAGGGTTGCGATCCCGTTACCGGTCAGTAAAAAAGACAAAAAGGAAAAAAAAATAGTAGTTTCCTCAATTTGCAGGAAATGATTCATTTTGGAGAGGACAAAGAAAATAACGTTTCACATATTCATCATATTCATTCAACAAGTGTACTGGAAGCATGCCCTGTGTCCAGCACCACGCTAGGCACTGAGAATACAAAAATGAAAAACATGTATCTTGTTCTCCAGCCTAGCTGGGGAGAGAAGCAAAGAAATAGTGTAAAAAATGCAACAAAAGTAACATGCACAAGGCAGACCTGTAGGAAGGAGGTTAGGGACGAACAGAAACTGTGTTGCTAGGATTTTGAACTTAATTCCATAAGTAGTAGAGAGCCATTAAGCAGAAGAAACCATCAGATTTAATTTTAGAAGGAAATTGCTGTTATCAGTGTAAAGAATGGGTTGTAGTAGGGAAACATCAAAGGCACATTGAGTTCCACTTTTCATAAAAATAATTCCACAACACTCTGACACTGCCCTTTTTGCTCTCCAATCCATTTCCTCTTGTGCCCGAAACACACACAATTTAGAAATTAATCTTTTAAAAGCACTAGTTTCCGAGTTTTTGAGGTTTTTCCAAATATCTATTACTGGTTGATAATTTAATTCTATCGTGGTCAGAGAACATACTTTGTATGACTTGAATCCTTTTGAATTTATGGAGACTTGCTTTATGGTTTAGAATATGGTCTTGGTACATGTACCATATGCTCCTGGAAAGAATGTGTAGCCTTGGGTTGTTTAGGTACTGCTGGGTTTTATATATGTCACTTAGTCGAGCTGGTTGATAGTTTTGTTCAAGTCTTCTATATCCTTATTGATTTTATGTATTCTTGTTCTATTAAACATTGAGAGCAGGGTATTAAAATCTCCAACTACAATTGTGGATAACTGGATTTGTCTCTTTCCTTGCAGTTCTATCAGTTTTTGCTTTCATGTATTTTGAAGCAGTTATTAGGGTGAATAAACATTTAGGATTGCTATGTCTTCTCACTGAATTGACCCTTTTATCATTACGAAATGATCTTCTTTGTCCCTGGTAATATTCTTTGCTCTGAAATCTACTTTGCCTGAGATTGCCACTCCAGCTTTCTTTTTTTTTTTTTTTTCCTTTTTGTCTTTTTTCGTGACCGGCAACGGATCACAAC